TGGTCTCGATCTCCTGACCTCGTGATCCGCCCGTCTCGGCCTCCCAAAGTGCTGGGATTACAGGCTTGAGCCACCGCGCCCGGCCTACCTTCATCTTTTTACAGACAGGGAAACCAAAGCTCAGAAAAGTAATTTGCCCATGATCACAATGGCTGGTCAAGAGCAGAGCTGGGATTTGAATCCAGACCAGCATATACTCAGAGTCTGTCCATTGAACCCTTTCCCTCATTTCAAATATGTTCCCTCAGTAGAAGAGCTCAAGGAAATTTTAGGCTTGAAGGAGACTTAGAGCTCATTTTACAGACACAGCTCTGCCAATTGGGATGTGGGAGAGAGACAAGCTCTAATGAGCACCAATCACAGGATATAACTCTCTTAGAGTTTTGAAATCTATGTCCAAGAAAAATAGGGTCTGAACCAGCCAAGAGGGCTGGGGAACTCTTCACCTGAGAGGGCTTCAGAGAGAAGTAGAGGTCTTCTGCGGTGTTGGTGCTGAGGTTCTGGACCAAAGCCTTCAAGAAAGTCATGTTCACCTTCTCCGTCAAACCTTCCTTCACCAGATGGGCCTCGAAGTTTAGCCAGTATCTGCAAAGGGCCAGGGATGAGGGGAGGGTAAGATCCTGCAGACTGAGTTACTCACTCGTCAGGCTCTTGGGGTGGGAGGGCCGACCCAAACTCTCAAAGTGAAAACCCTGGAATCAGGGCAGGAGGAAGGAAAGTGGCTTGGGGGCCGTCCAGGCTGCTCCTGCAGGATTCCCGCTAGGCATCCCTCTGAGTATTTTATGTGTTTGTCTTTTTTTGTGCATGTGGTAAAGTGCACATAGCGTAAAATTTACCATTTTAACCATTTTAAAGTGTCCAATTCAATGACATTAAGTAAGTCACAATGTTGTGCAACCGTCACACTATCTAGTTCCAGAACATTTCGTCACCCCAAAGGAAACGCATACCCATGAAACTCTCCCTTCCCCCTTCCCCCGGCCTCTGCGATCACTCATCTGCTTTCTGTCTCTGAGTTTGCCTATTCCAGATAGCTCACGCAAATGGAATCATACCACATGCAGCCTTTTGTTTCTGACTTCTTTCACTCAGAATAATGTTTTCAGGGTTCATCTATGTTGTAGCGTGCATCAGTATTCCATTTTATTTTTGAGATGAAGTCACACTGTGTCGCCTAGGCTGGAGTGTAGTACCGCAATCTTAGCTCACTGCAACCTCCGCCTCCCGGGTTCAAGTGATTCTGCTGCCTCAGCCTCCCGAGTAGCTGGGATTACAGGCATGAGCCACCATACCCAGCTAATTTTTTGTATTTTTAGTAGAGAAACATGGGGTTTCACCATGTTGACCAGACTGGTCTCGATCTCCTGACCTCAAGCAATCCGCCCACCTCAGCTCCCCAAAGTGCTGGAATTACAGGCATGAACCACTGCACCTGGCCCTATTTCTTTTTTTAAATTATTTTTAGTAGAGTTGGTGTCTCACTCTGTTGCCCAGGCTGGTCTTGAACTCCTGGCCTCAAGTGATCTTCCTGCCTCAGCCTCCCAAAGTACTGGGATGACTTTGGGCATGAGCCACCGTGCCTGGCCCCTGTATTTTATTTCTTTGTATGGGTGAATACTATTTCATTGTATGGGGAGATCACATTTTGATTATGCCTTCATCCATTGAGGGACATTTGGGTATTTTCCTCTCTCTCTCTTTTTTTTTTTTTTTTTGGCTACTGTGAAAAAATGCTGCTACAAACATTCATGTACTAGCTGCTTCTGCTTCTTCTTCTTCTTCCTCTTCCTCTTCTTCCTCCTCCTCCTCTTCTTTCTTCTTCTTCTCTTTTTTTTTTTTTTTTTTTGAGATGGAGACTCTCACTCTGTTGCCCAGGCTGGAATGCAGTGGAGAGATCTCGGGTCACTGCAGTCCTCACCTCCTGGATTCAAGCAATTCTCCCACCTCAGCCTCCCGAGTAGCTGGGATTACAGGCGTCTGCCACCATGCCTGGCTAATTTTGTTGTATTTTCAGTAGAGATGGGGTTTCACCATGTTGGCCAGGCTGGTCTCAAACTCCTGACCTCAAGTGATCTGCTCCCCTCAGCCTCCCAAAGTGCTAGGATTACATGCGTGAGCCGCCGTACCTGTCTCATGTATGAGTTTTTGTTTGGAGACTTGTTTTAAATTCTTTTGGGTATATACCTTGGCAGCACAAAGAGGAGCCTCTGAACAGCTCTAGAGTGCTAAGAAGCTACTGGATCAGCTGCAGGTGAGAATGGAAGCATTTTCAGGCCACCGAAATAACATGATCCAATGAGATGGCTGTCCTAACACCAAGCCTGAGAGCACAGGGATTTTACTCATTCCTTTAACACATATTCATTAAGTACTAATACAAGCCACATGCTTTTCTAGGTATCCCGGAAGAGTTATGGGCAGCTTTGATTAAGAGTGGGAGAAGGAAAGAGAGGCAGAGATATTTTTGGAGATGTCTCCTAAAGATGTTGTGTTCTAAACCCCTTCATCTCCCTCACCCCCACATCTAACCAATCTCTTGTCTTATTGAGTCTACATCATATCATCTCCCCCTTCCATCTCTCCTTTCCAAGTACACAATGCCAATTGCTGCTGGTGGTGCTGGCTGGGCCCTCACTCCCACCCAGAGCCCTGGTCATGTCTTCCTGCATCACCACCCCTGTAGCTGTCCCTGAAGCCTGAGCGATCTTTCCAAAATGCAGAGTTGACTATACTCTACCTGCGCTTAAAATACGTCATTGCCCTGCCACACCCCTGCCATTGGTATAGCTTACACAACCCTTCACACCTTAGTCTCTGCTTTTATTTCCAGTCCTATCTCCCACCCATCGCATCTGCCCATTGTCTCTTCCATCCCCACGCAGTTTACATTGTTACAGTTCAAAGCATTGTAGTTATCCCCCATTACTCTCAAGTTCTGTTGCCTGTATCCCCACCATTGCTTAGATCCAACTGGAAAACTCCTATGCACCCTTCAAAGCCCTTTCCAGGTTTCCTCCTCTGTGAAGCCTTGGCCAACTTCCCTCCTCCAGGCTAACCTGGCACCTTGTTTGCCCTTCTGTATACACTCTGGAGTCATCATTATTTGGGTCTGTGTCAGTCCTTCCACAACTCCCAAGGGCCAGGATAGGAGTGGATTCATCTCTAAATCCCCTAGATCAGTAGGGACCCCAACTGCCAGAATGGGGGTGTTGGGTCAGGGGGACTGCAGTGTCAAATAAGGTGGAAGGGTCAGATGGCAGCAGCATTTTCTGGGGCCATGGGGTCAGATGGCCCCATCCCTTCCTGATAGGCCCCCTTCTAGCAGCTTCAAATTCCGCTTCCAGCTCAGAGGGCCCCCTCACCTCTGCAAGTTTTCCACATTGCAGGAGTTGCTGCCCGACTGGTTGCACTTGGTGAAGCACGAAGCCTTGTCATTCAAGTTGAGGATGTCGTACTTGTCTATGTTGTTTCTCCCCAGGCAGGTGTTTCTTGGCTGTTCGGTGGTATTTTCCTGACCTGAGGAAGGAATGCAGAGAGTGTGAATGGGCTGGATGAAGATGGGCAACAAGGACGAGGATGGGGGAAAGGAGCTGAGGCTCCAGAGTCTGGTGGTTGGGCTGGAATTCCAGCTCCATACATCACACTAATGGTGCACTTGAGCAGGATGCAGACCGTCTCTGGGGCTGTTTCCAAGATAAAAGCAAATACCCCCATCTCCCAGGGCTGGTAGGATGCTTTGGAAAAAGCATGTACAAAAGGCTTGGCACGTGGCTTTGCAGATACAAGGTTTAATATGTTTGTGCTATTACTCCTTTACCCCACGGAGTCTGCCTGGCTTTTTAGTTATTCCACATCAGACCTTCCAAAGCCCTTGTAACTATGGCCTCCTGGTCAAACTCTTGGATGTATTCTGTCTTGGTTTGCCTCATTCTCCCACATTCACACTACAACCCTCACAGCTACTTCCTGGGACAGATAGAAAATACACCAAACCAAGGCCCCTGAAGCAAAATGACTTGAGAAAGGTTACTAGGTAGTTGGAGGCTGCTCCAGGACTAAAGACCAGCTTTTGTGACTTTTAGTTCAGTTCCCTTTCACCTAATACAGGGCAGGAAGTGGAAGCTTTGGGTCATCTACTAGCTGTATGTCCTGAGGCAACTTAAACTCTCTGAAGCTCAATCTTTTGCCAGCAAAATGGAGCTAATAATACGTTCCTTGCCAGTTTTGGGAGGGATTGGAGATAAAGGACATAGCTCATTGTAGGTGTTCAAAGAGTTTACCACCTTTAACGGTTTATTGCACAGCCTTCTAGAAATTTTGCAGAAGGTATGCATATGCAAGTATTTATAAGTACATCTTTTTTTAATTAAAAAATTTTTAATTGATTAGAGAGGGTTCTCACTATGTTGCCCAGGCTGGTCTCAAACTCCCGGCCTTAAGCGATCCTCCTGCCTTGGCTGCCCAAAGTGCTGGGATTACAGGTGTGAGCCACCGCGCCCTGCCAATACATCATTTTTAAAATTTACACAAATAAGTTCACTTAACAATATATCTTTTTTTTTTCTTTTGAGACAGAGTCTTGCTCTGTCATCCAGGCTGGAGTGCAATAGCATGATCATAGCTCACTGCAGTCTAGACCTCCCAGGCTCAATTGATCCTCCAACCTCAGCCTCCCAGGTAGCTGGGGCTACAGGCACATGCCACCATGCCTGGCTAGTTTTTTATTTTTTAATGTTGTTTATTTTTATTTTTTGTAGAGACAGGGTTTTGCTGTGTTGCCCAGGCTGATCTCAAACCCCTAGGCTCAAGCGATCCGCTCATCCTGGCCTCCCAAAGTGCTGGAATTTATAGGCATGAGCCACCACGCTTGGACTAGCAATATATCTTGAAGAACTTTTCACCTCATTCTTTATATAGTTGCAAACTATTCCATTACATGGGCACTTGCAACACTTTTTTTAACCAGTCCCCTCTTGGTGGACGTTGTTTTTCACAATCTGCCATAAAAATTCTTGAGTGTGCATCTTTCAGCTTATGTTGAGAACGCATAGAAAACATTCCTATCATAGGACTTTCTGTATCTAACTGTATGTGCTTTAAAACACTGCCAGGAAGGCTGGGCCCGGTGACTCACGCCTGTACTCCCAGTACTTTGGGAGGCAGAGGCGGGCAAATCATGAGGTCAGGAGTTTGAGACCAGCCAGCTTGGCCAACATGGGGAAGCCCTACTGAACATACAAAAATTAGCTGGACGTGGTGGTGGGTGCCTCTAATCTCAGCTATTCAGAAGGCTGAGGCAGAAGAATTGCTTCAACCTGGGAGGCGGAGGTTGCAGTGAGCCGAGATCGCACCACTGCACTCCAGCTTGGACGACAAAGAGAGACTCTGTCTCAAAAAAAACAAAAACAAAAACAAAAAAAAAAACCAACAACAAAAAAAATTCCTATTATAGGACTTTCTGGATGTGCTTTAAAAAACTGCCGGGTATTATTGAATTTCCCTCCAGAAAATGGTGTACCTATTTATACTCTCACTCAAAGTAGGTAAGAGTGACTATTTATCCACATGCCTATTATTCTATAGTTTACTAAACTTTTGAATTTTTGCCCGTCTGAGAGATGACATTGAATCTTATTTTCATTTAAGGAGTTTGAGCATCTACCTGTGTATTTGTGGCCACTTATATGTCTTTTACTCTGAATTGCTTTGTTGTATCCTTCTCCCATTGAGGACAGGAAGTGGGTCTTGGCTCTATGTCGTCACTTTTCGGATTGCCCCCCAGGGACTGTTAGGAGAGATCCCTCTGCAATGGGTGGTGCTGCGGGGTGAGGCGGGCAGCGGTTCATTTGTTTTCCATTTTTTATTTCCCTCTCTGCTTTTTGATTTTTAAAAACTCATGTCCAGTATTACTGTCACATTTTTTTTAAAAACTGTTCATTTTTAATCATTAAGACAAAAAAATACATGATAAAAATAATGGCTGAATAAAGAGTAACAGCAGAGTAAAAAAAATAACATTTTAGAGTGGATTTTGTAATAATGGACTCTATATGTGATAATTTGTTTTAGATAGCTTATAAAGGAACTGTAAATTTCTGTTAGTTTACAAAGATATTTATGATGCGTTGTTTAATAGGAAATGAAAATGATAGATGGGCATGCATGTAATATGATCCATATTTGCTTTTTTTTTTTTTTTTTGAGACGGAGTCTTGCTCTGTCGCCCAGGCTGGAGTACAGTGGCGCGATCTCGGCTCACTGCAAGCTCCGCCACCCGGGTTCACGCCATTCTCCTGCCTCAGCCTCCCGAGTAGCTGGGACTAGAGGCGCCCGCCACCGTGCCCGGCTAATATTTTGTATTTTTAGTAGAGACGGGGTTTCACCGTGTTAGCCAGGATGGTCTCGATCTCCTGACCTCATGATCCGCCTGTCTCGGCATGTTTGCTTTTTAAATAAAGGGGAGAAGAGGGAGAAGAGGAGGAAGACAGAAACAGGGAGAGGGAAGAAGAGAAGAGAGGGGAGGAGGGAATGGGAGGGGAAGGAAGAGGACGGGAGAGAACATCGTCAGCTTGAGGGCAGGCGCCATCCTCTGCCATCCCAGCCCTGCTCTCATGAATGAGCGCAGGTGCAGGCAGCCCCCTGGTGGGTGGCATCAGAGACTCCCTCCCGGATTGCCATGAATTTCAGTGCAGGCATGTAAGTGAAGCTCTTGGCAAGCACCCTACACAGACAGGATCGTTAAATATCTTTTCCGTGTTTATTCTTTGAAGACACTGCAAGCATTTCATGTAGACGAGGAGACGCTGTGTTAGGCCTGTGGGTGGGATAACGCTCCCCTCCTCTCCGGACCCTCTGCGCTCCAGAGCTTGGCCTCCATGGGCTGCCTCATTGGGAGGTCAGCAAATGGGGAGTGGACTGGAGATCAGAGGGCAGGAGGAGGGCACGGTGGGCAGTCACCCCCACCCCGCATGGCTCCTTCAGCCCCTGCTGGCTCACCACGAGCAAACCACCGCCATTTCCCTCCTGCAGCCACAGTCTGGCTCCAGAAGCCCAGGGGTCCACTCCCTCCTGGGCCCTTTAGACCTCACGGTGCTGAAGGCCGCCTCAGGTGCCAGCCTGCCCAGCAACCACCCTCCTTGCTCCCCGTGCTCTGCCTGCACCTTTGTCACGTGTCCCTTCATGCCAGCCCCTCCATGGCATCCACCCCGCTCAGTCCTAACAGCTGGGCCTCACATGCGAGTCCCCACCACACTATGTCACTCCTGCAGACTGTCAGCCTTTTGAGGGCAGGGGCCAAGTGGTACCAGTAGGAGCAGAGGGCACCATCGCTGCTTCCTGAATGAATGAATGAATGAATGGGCAAATGGATGAATGGAGACTAACACATCACTGTCCACACAGGAAGTGTGTAGACCTTCCCGTGTGTAGACCTCTCAAAGCTCCTCACTCGATCAAATGGCTGCTGTTCTGCCCCAACCAGAGTGCCCACATCACCATGGGGGAAACAGCATCGCCTGGAGGAGCCTTGAAGACCCAACCAGCGATGACAACTGGGGCCTGAGGATGCCCACGAGCCCTGGTCACAGCTGCCATCGGTGGCTCCGTTCATCCCTCCATCAAGGGCTGCCCAGTGACCTGCTCTGTACCAGGACCTCCTGGGGCCACTAGGAGGACAGTGCTACCATCTCCCACCCTTTTTTGAGCCAGGGACTGATTCACTCCATTGAATCTCCCAATGGTTGAAGAGAAGACGGTTCTCTGAAGCCCAAAGCAGTTGATCTGTGTGGCCAAAGTCATGCGACCACATGCTGGACACACAGGGAGATGGACATGCAGGCCCCTCACTGAGTCAGGAGCAAAACGAGAGCGGCCCGCAAGGCCCCGAGACAGGAGTACTGAGGAGGGAGCACTAACGGGGAAGCACCTCCCTCTGTCTGAGAGGGTTGCTAAGACACCACAGAGGCCAAGAAGGGTAAATGGAGCCGGCTAGGTGGGCAAGGGGTAGGGGGACAACTTTCCTGGGAGAGAGGCCAGCGAAGGCAAGGCCTGGGCACTTCCACGGCCTCTGGAGACGCACCACGTGTTTGTGTGTGAGAGAGGAGAGTGATGGGGAGGAGTGTGGATCCTGGCTCAGGCCACTGAGGACCAAGGGATCGTGGCTGAGACTGGGAGAGGGAGCCGGTGTGGGGTGACATGTACAGGAGGAGAGGGCCAGAAGAACGAGGTGACAGACTTTCCTGGCCTCAGCTTTCAGAGTGTCCGAATACTGTCCCCAGGATCCCACAAGCCAGTTGGAGAATTGCCTGCCCAGGGCCGACCCCTGTCCCAGAGTCAGGGCTGTCAGGAGACACAGCCCAGGTCGGGGAGTCAGGGAGCACCCTCCGACCTCCCCTATCTCCAGGGCACAGTGGAGCAACAAAGGGAACCTGAGACCAGTCCTGAGCAAAGTTTAGTGGAAGGAAAGGACTGACCCAAAGGGACAGGGCTAGAGGAGGTGCTGAGGCGGCCACAGGGGGTCTCGGAGGACACGTCCCAGACATTCCAACTCCTCACCCTCTCTAGTCCCTGCGTCTGTCCCTGGATCCCTCCCTCAGCAGGGCAGGGTTGGCCCAGCATGGCAGGAGGGGATGAGGAGCCAGCCACTCACCTGAGGTCAGGAGCAGGAGAAGCAGGAGCAGGGATCCCAGACCCCTGGGCGTCGCCATCCTTGGCCAGCCTTGCGCACGCCACCAGAGCCCTGCAGCTGTCTGGCCCTCTGGCCCCAGGCTCTGCCGAGCTGGCCTGCCCCCACTCTGCAGCCCCACCGCTCTGGCTTCCTGTCTCACCCTTCCTGCTCAATGGCCCCATCAGTTGAGTTGTGAAAGGTTAGCGTGGGGAACTGGGTAGTGCTCCCAGTCTCACCACAGCCTAGGTCTACCTGCAAAGGGAGCTGCTGAGCCCACCCAGGTATGTGCCCCAGGGCCCCACTGGGGTAGATCTATGGGGCTAGAGGCTGGGTGGCCACACAGGCCTGGCTCAGAGCAGACCCCTGGGAACTGTGATGAGCACAGGCTTTGGAGTCAGACGCATGTACTCAGACCCCTCCTCTCACAAGCCGGGAGCCTCTCTGAGCCTCAGTTTCCTCCTCCATAAAGTGAAGATGGCAATGGGGCTGCCTCCTAAGGCTGTGTCAGGGTTTGATGAGACCTGCAAGAGGCTGGGCACAGAGCCTGGCTCTGGGCATGAGGACAAAGACCCCAATGGAGCCTGTGGCTTGAACCAGGGTGGAAGGCGTGGGAGGAGAGCAGGAGCTGACCCTGTGGCCTGAGCCTCCCCCACCAGCCTGGATAACAGGACAGTCCCACAGGCAGGGGAGCGGGAAGACAGGAGTGCGGCCACGGGAGCTGGTCAGGTCTGGACTGACATCCGTCCTGGCCACTTCCTGGCTGGGTGACCTTGCATGCACTGTCTGTCACCCTGAGCCCCGGGAGGTGTGTGATGAACTCACGGATAACTCAGGCGGAGCCGCTCAGCCAGTGGATGTGGCCATGACATCGCCTCTGATCATCAGAGCTGTGAAATTGTTGTCTTCACACCCCAGCTGGTCACTGATCGGGTGCAGGGGCGGGTGGCAAACACGCCTGGGCTTCAGCCTAAAGGAATTGGGGCTCCAGCCACTCGGGCTTCAACTCTGGAGGCCCCACAGATGCACTGTGGATGAGGTCATGGCCACTTGGAGATTGGAAGGTGAAGGGCATCCCACCAAGGTGTGTGGTTGCTGGCATCCCCCTCTGGCCCACAGGGCTGGCACTAGCCCTACTTAGCCTTGGGATCGAACTGGGGAGCCACTCGGCCCCCGCTGGCCTCCATTTCCCCTTCCTCCCTCTCAGTGTCTCCTGCTGAGCCCTCTGGGTCTGGGAAGCGGTGGGGAGGGGATGTCAGGGTCACTGATGGGGTGGAAGCAGGTGGGAATTCAGCATGGAGCAGCAGGTCAGAGTCCAGGGCTTCCTGAGCCCCAAAACCTTCCCCTGCAGGGAGGGCTGCAAAGGCAGATAAATGGCTGGGCCTGCCACTGCTCCACACCCAGCCAGCCTTCTCCGGGAAGACCTGCGGACCTGCCTTCCAGCCGCAGGTGAGGGTGAGGTGGGGCAGTGGACTTGGATGTGCCGGGCCATCCTGGCGCCTGGGACCTCAGAGAGGCTCACAGGTACACGTGCGTGAAGAAGGGCCTGGTGGTGAGCAGAGTGGAACTCCGAGCACCCAGCCCACTTGGGAATGCAGGCTCAGGGCACCTGCGGGGAGGGCAGGGGAAGGTCAGGCAGGGCTGGAAGGAGGGCCACCTTTTCCTATGACCCCTTCCCTGAAAGGCCCCATGGGGACCAAGGACTAGCCTGGAGCCACTCACAGAACCCTGAGACCCCCCCCGCCAATCCCAGGGCCAACAAAACCGTAGTGTCCCTTCCTGCCACCTCCTGCCCCGGCTTCTCCCAATGGCTCCAGTGGGCGGGGCCTCAAGTCCTCCAGCCAGACCCAGCCAGCATTCAGCCCTCGGCTACTCCAATCCATTTCCCAGGTTAAAGGGATGTTTCCAGATGCAGGCCTGGCCACGTGCTGGCAGAAAGGGCGGCCCCGCTGTCCAAAGCCCCATAGCCCAGGAAAGTGCATGATAAGAACCATCAGGGTGAAAGGATCAGCACGGAGCTGTTGGTGCCCCATCCAGGGCCTATGAGAAGCGGGAGAATTGCGGAGGAAGGGGGCTGGGTCCTTTCCCTCCCTTCTGGAGGATGGGGGAGTTGCCTCAACCTCCGACCCAGGACCTAGCCCAGCCATGGGGCTCTGAGAGACACCCTCATGGAGACCTAGAGGCCTATAAGGAGGGAAGCTGGCTCTGATCCCCCTGGGCTGCCCAGTCCGGACACTGGGGTAGGGGAGGCTTGGGAAGGTTTGGCCTCTGTCCTTTGGAGCTGGGGGCATAAGAGGAGCCCCCCTGCCACCTGCAGAAAGGTGGGGACAGAGGTCAGTGGAGCGAGTGGAGGGAGGGTTGGGAGAGCCACAGGGCACACTGATTCTTGGTCCCTGCAGGTCCCAAAATCCCACATTCACACCCCTCAGAGGGCATTGGCAGTCTAGGCCTGGCTGCCTCACACCCACCCTGTCCAATCCAAGACCCCGAGCCTCTTCCCCTGCTGGGCGTACCCCTAGAGTGGCCAGGGGAGGAGGGAGGAGCCTACAGAAGGGAGAGAGTGGGCTGTGGGCCTTGGGGAAAACTTTGGCTGCACTGAACACAGTGGCAATGATCCATTGCGACTGCCCTCACCACAGGGAAGATGGGAACCTGTGTGATCTGCCTAACCTGGGCCTTAGGAGGGGGAGGAGAGATTGATTTGGTGGAACAACAAGGTTAAAGGCAGGGATGGGAGAGAAGTCCGGTGATTTAATTATTGCAGCCCACCTGCTGCAGAGTGGTCAGTAAACTGGTTGCATAAATCCCAGGACCAGGCAGCTTTTGACGGTAATCTCTTTGGCCAGATGATGTTTTGGATTCGCCAAAATCAGGGGATTTCAAACCACATTCTGGATTTCCCATTTCTCATAAAAGGCAGGTGATCTGGCTACATGGGCCCTCATCCCTGCAATGCAGTGACCAGCTGGAGCTGATGAGCAGCCACCCCCTCAGCACAGGGTTGGGAATCTCCAGTTCACCACAGACCCCACCACTCCCCATTGCCTCCCCAGCACAGACACCAAGTTGACATTTATCTTCCCCTTTGCCCTGGTTTCCAGCAGTCGATTTTTTATTTATTTATTTATTTATTTTCCCCCCACACAGCCCTCTTCTCTCTTTCATGTTTCCTGATTGGCCTCAAGGTATTTGCATCAGTGACTCTTTTAATAGAAGCTTGGTAAAAAGCTCAGAAGAAAATGACCCAAAACGCTTACGCCAGTTTGCTAGGTGATAACAACAACTGATTTTTATTTTTCTCGATTCTCTCTACAGTTTCCAAATTCTCTACAATGAACATGTACTTCTTTTCAATATCAAAAGACAAAAGAATTGGTACGTAAAAAGAACATCCTTCCCATCTTGAAGGTCAAGATTAAACGCTGACTCCTGCAGGAAGTCTTCCAGGATTCCCAGCCAGGAATGATGGCTCCCTGTCCCCGTGCCTGTAGCTCCAGGAGCTCTTGCTTCATGCACGCCTCACATACCAGACTGAGGGGTGGCAGGGGGAGTGTCCAGGTCGGTCATCTGTGTCCCTGCCACCTAGCACAGGCCAGCGATCAACCCGTGTGTGTTTGCTGGACAGAATTAACCATGATGGGCGGCTGAGGGTGCCTGGAGCTATTTGCAGGGACTTGGAGAGGATCCCTTAGGAGTGTCAGGCTCTAGGCCAGTGTCACCAGAGGAGGTCAGTCTCAGTCCTTGGAGTGCTGGGATGGAAACCAGATGGGACTGGCATGGTCCACAGTTCTTGCCACAAGAGGGCTTCAGAAGAGGCTGAGGGCCCCTCTCAGGCATGTGCTTGGTCAGGGTGAGCAAGGGCAATGCAGCTCATACAAAGGCTCAGATGGACAGATGGACCTAGCCCAGCCCAGGCATCGGTCCTGAGCCTGGGTTGGGGCAGGCCAAGGCTTGTGCAGTAGACAAACATTTACAGCAGATACCAGGCAGCTCCTAGAAACCACTCCCTGACACATAGCATTGGAATCGGGGACCCCAAGCTGTGAATGAAGGAGCAAGGAGGCCCTGGGAGAGGAGGAGAACCCCAGGGAAGATGGAGGGAGGACTGGGAGGCTAAGGGAGGGAGGGGGCCTAGGCTCAGAGGTAGGCGAGCTGCGGCTGTGCTCCTGGCAAAGGGCCTCTCCTCCGCCAGGGCTCCGGCCCTGAAGGTCTGCCCTGGGCCCCATTCGCCCTGGGTGTCACCTGAGGTTAAAATGACAGAGGATGCAGAGCACCCTCAGGGTGACCACGAGAGACAGAGCAACTGGAGCCATGTTTCTGTCCTAGGCAGGGGCACAGGATTAAGGATGTGCCAGACCCTCAAGATCCAAGGCCTGGCCCCCCAGCAACAAGGGCTGGACCCAGGGGTTGTAAGGAGAGACCAGGCCTCCACCCGGGTTAGGACAGATGTGAGGACAGTCCCCTAGCCAGCATGGCGGTGCGCTTCTGGGCCCTGTGGGAGCTGAGTGAGAGCCGAGTAGTCCCCAAGGCCAATTCAAAAACCCAGCCCGGGAGTCTGTCCATCACGGCAACAGCCCATCTCTCATGGTCGTTGGGCCTTCCCAAGTGTCTGGCTGACTGGCCTGGGGCTGGGCCTGGCTCGGGGGCCACAGTCAGTGTGCAGTGAGGCCGCATCTGTGCTTCCTCACACAGGCAGGTGGGCTGGAGGCCTAGATGCGGCTGGATGAGGTGCTGCCCGTGCTGATGGGGAGCCTGGCGCTGTCTGAGTTGCTCTTCAGAGGGGAGGGGCCACCCCGAGCCTGTAGCCGCATGGACCAGTACCAGAGGAAGATGAGGAAGCCTGCGGGCAGCGAGGGCACGGGGTCAGCAGGTGGGGGAGCCCTGCCCTACCCGTCCTCCTCCCTCCCCAGCCACTGTGACTCGGGTCTGCCCCACCTCCCCACCAGTGTTTGCCCAGCACGTGCTGTCGGGCACCCATGGGACCCAGCGAGCACCTCCTACGAGCCAGGCACTACGCTAAGTCCCCGTGTGGCCTCTCACTGTCACAAGCTTCCTGCAGGCCCGTCCTATTCATCACTATTCTCTTTTGTAAACAAAGAAACTGAGGCCCAGGAGGCCCAGGTAAGGGGATGTGGCTGAGCCAGGGCTCAAACCGTGGTGAACAGGCTCTGGAGCCCACTCACTTAAGCACTGTGTG